CTCGCATTAATGAACACAAGTTAGCTATCCGCCGACGCGACCCCTTATCCCTCGTGTTTGCCCACGCTCTTGATTGTGACCACCGTTTCAATTGGGACGGTGCCGAAGTGGTCGCCATGGCTAACACTAAACATGCACGGGAATTCCTCGAAGCTTGGCACTCCGGTGCAGATAGCATTAACCGCCATGTTGACCTTGATGTCCACTACGAGGGTCTCCGATCACGGTGGACTGACTGGCGCCCACCTTAAGAACAACAACAACTAATGCGTGCCCGGACATGCATGATCTCGCCGACACGCCATTCCTACCACCCTGCCCTACTCCCCCTCCCTCCCCCAACACGGTGAGCCACAGCTTGGACCCACGACACCTATCCTCACCTCCCGCACCCATCACAACACTATGCACACCTCCCCCTCTCAAGGTCGTCTGCTTACCTCTCTGTCTGCGTCCTCAACCAGCAGTGTGACAATGCCACCACTCACTTTTCACTTTGTCTGACGACGGGTTGGTGCAACCAGCTCGAAAATTTACGAGTAAAACTCTATTTCCGACGGACTTCCTTCTTTCATATATATATATATACTACTCGTAGTACTACTTGTTTGTAGAATGGGCATTACGTGGTTATTCCACAGTAGTTGATTGTCTTCGACTCAAATGTTCATTGAAATTTCGGTTCTGACCCTAAAAAGTCATGTCCCGGAGATTTAACTCCAAGTTCTGCACTGATTAATTTCTGAAATTATTCACCTGATTATTCTCTGGAGTTCATATACCGGAAACCGCTAGAGAACGCTGGGGGTCCCACTGAAGAGCCGAACCCCTCGCAGCTGTGTCACGCAGCGGCAGAATATCGGCGAAACACGTGTCTGGGCTTTTAGCAAGTATCTAGGTCGGGAGTACGGTATACTACCATATATATATATAGGCAGAATAGCATTACCGACAAAGACAAGGGAGACTGGAATGGGCATTTCTGGCTTATTAGCCGCCGTCAGCCAGCCATACCCAAGCCCGAAGTGTGGAACACCCGAGCCTCGATCTCGCGACCTGTTGGTTTAGAAGTCTACGCCTCTACTCACCGGGCCACGAGCCCGTTGCCTTGTCGGTTTTCGATCGGGAATACACAATGTTAGGGGGCGCTCACCGATCGTTCATACGGAACTCGCTCGTTCCGTTGTGCCTTAAGGGCTCTCTCTCGAGCCCAACCAGCAGCCGCACAGCGGCGCATGATATATATAGGCAGAATAGCATTACCGTTAATGACAAGGGAGACTGGAATGGCCATTTCTGGCTTATTAGCCGTCGTCAGCCAGCCATACCCAAGCCCGAAGTGCGGAACACCCG